TTCTGTTTTTGTATCAAATCTGTTAGCCTGTGTCTTTTTATAGGTGAGTTGAATACATTTACATTAAGTCATATTAATAACCAAGCTGGGCGGTGGTGGTGCACGCCTTTAATCCCAGTACTCGGGAGGCAGAGGCAGGTGGATCTCTGTGAGTTCGATGCCAGCCTGGTCTTCAAGAGTTAGTTCCAGGACAGGAACCAAAGCTTCAGAGAAACCCTGTCTCGAAAATTGAAAAAAAAAAATAACCAGTGATTGCTATCTCTTGTTAATTTAGTTTTCATTGTTGGTGATGTTAATTTGTGTGTTGTCCCCTTCTTTGGGATTTGCTACTGTGAGATCATCAATTGTCTGTTTTTGTTGATGTAGCCAACTTTCTTGGGTTGGAGTTTTCCTTCTAGTTTTTTGTGTGTAGGGCTGGGTTTGTGGCTAGGATTTGGTTAAATCTGGTTTTGTCATGGAATATCTTGTTTTGTCCTTCTGTGGTTGAAAGTTTTGCTGGGTATAGTAGCCTGGGCTGGCCTCCATGCTCTCTTAATGTCTGCATAATGCTTGACCAGCTCCTGCTGGCTTTCATTGTCTCCATTGAGAAGTCAGGTGTAATTCTGATAGGTCTGCCTTTATATATTACTTGGCCTTTTTCCTTTGCAGCTCTTAATATCCTTTCTTTATTCTGTATGTTGTTTTGAGCATAATGTGGCAAGGGGACTTTTTTTGTTTTTGATCCATTCTATTTGGTGTTCTGTAAGCTTCTTGTATCTTCATAGGCATATCTTTAAGTTGGGGAAATTTTCTTCTATGATTTTGTTAAATATATTTTCTGTGCTTTTAAGTTGAACTTCTCTTTTTTCTATACCTATTCTTAGGTTTGGTCTTTTTATGGTGTCCCATGTTTTCTGGATATTTTGTGTTAAGCTTTTGTTAGATTAATGTTTTCTTTGACTGATGAATCTATTTCCTCTATTGTATCCTCAGTGCTTGAGAGTCTCTCTTCCATCTCTTATATTCTGCTGTTTATGCTTGCATTTGTGGTTCCTGATTATTTTCTTCTGATTTGTTTCTGTAATTCCCTCGGCTTGTGTTTTCTTTATTGTCTCTATTTTGGTTTTCAAGTCTCGAATAGTTTCTTTCATATGTTTGATTGCTTTTTCTTTAAAGGATTTGTTGGTGTTTTCCAATTTTTTTGTTTGTATTTTCCTCCATTTCTTTGAGGGATTTTCTCATTTCCACTTTAAGAGTCTCAAACATCCTCCTGAAGTTATCTTTTAGGTAATTTTCTTCTGCTTCATCTATATTTGGTTGTTCATGTCTTGCTGTTGTAGGGTCACTAGATTTTACTGGTGTCATGTTGCTCTTCATGGTGTTGCGTGTGCTCTTATCTACTCATCTTTTCCTTTGCTTGGTGTAGTTGGGGCTGTCTTTGACTGTGCTGATAAATCTTCCAGGTGCCAGTGGATTCAAGGCTCAGATGGTTGCTCCTTGTGGTGCAGTCAGTGCCACGGTTCCGTTATTCATTGTTCACTCCCTGTTTTTGGAGGTCGCTCAGCGCTCCCATGGAGTTTGCTATCTCAGGCCTGCTGTGGCCTAGGTTGCCAGCTCAGACCTATTTCTGTAAATGTCCCTCATCTGGACCTGCTCCTGTGGAGGTCCCTGGCTTAGATTTGGTTCTGCAAAGGTCTCTGGTGTTGTAAGAGGAGCGGCGGGGCTGCGTCCCCAGCACCCCGGCCGCCTGCTAGCTTATGCCTGAAATAACAACACACAAACTGTATTCTTTTAAACACTGCTTGGCCCATTTCTATCTAGCCTCTTCTAGGCTAATTCTCGCACCTGGACTAGCCTATTTCTAATAATGTGTGTAAGCACCCCAAGGTGCGCTTACCAGGAAGATTCTAACCTACGTCCATCCTGGGTCAGAGCTTCATTGCGTGTGCCTCAGAGAGCAGAGCTATCGGGAGAGCGGAGCATGGCGTCTCTGCTCCAGAGCAGAGCTGTGGAGTCTGAGTTCACTTCCTCTTCCTCCCAGCATTCTATTCTGTTTACTCCTCCCACCTATGTTTTAACCTATCAGGGCCAAGGAGTTTCTTTATTGCTTAACCAATGAAATCAACAGATTGATATATGACAGTCCCACATCACTCTGGCTCCAATCTACTCTCTCAGAGGACCCAGACTCGGGTGTGCCCAGAACTGCAGAGGTCCTGGCTCAGGCCTGTTCCCTGGGAGGTCCCAGATTTATGCCTAGACCCATAGAGGTCCTGCCTCAGGCCTAGTTCTTCAGATGTCCCAAACTCTGACTTAGACCCACAGGGGTCCTGGATCAAGTTTACTCCCTATAACATCCCAGATTCACACTGGACCAGCAGCGGTCTCTGGCTCTGGCCCACTTGCTCAGTGGTTGCTTCCCTGTACCTGCTTCTGATGAGTTCACCGTCTCTAGCCCACTCTGGCCTAGGTTGCTGGCTTAGTCCCACTCCCGTGGAGCTTGCTGCCTCAGGCCTGCTCTAGCCTATGTCCCTAGCCCAGTCGTGCTTCTGCATATGTCCCTGGTCTGGATGCTCCTGCTCCTATGGAGTTCACCATCCCAGGCCTAGGTCGTAATCTCAGTCCTGCTCTTCTGGAGTTTGCTGCTTCATGCTTGCTCTGGCCTAGGTCACTGGCTTAGTCCTGTTTCTGTGGAGTTTGCTGCCTCAGGCCTGCTGTGGACTAGGTCGCTAGGTCCCTCGATATTGTGTTTTGACTAGTGATAGGCACATGATACATATCCATTAAGTCTGCATAGACTTAAATATGCACATATACAAATGAGTATGAGTCAAACCTAGGTAATAAGACAAGTTAATTATTATTAGTGTAAGTATCCCAATTCTGACATTGTGTTATGGTTGTATAAGATATGCTAATGGGAAAAATTCAGTAAAAGGAATTTCAGATCCTTTTCTTTCAACCAGATGCATATCCAGTTATCTCAAAAGTGAAAATTTCAGGGCCTCGAGATATGGCACAGTATAGAGATAGTTTCATGGTTAAAGAGCACTGACTGTTCTTGTGGAAGACTTAGATTCCATTCCCAACACCCACATGGGAGCCCACAACTGACTATAAGCCCAGTCACAGCGGATTCAATGCCTCCTCACTCACTGCATACATATGGTGCACAGACATGCATGCAGCCAAGCACTCATACACGTATTATAAAATAAATCTTAGAAAGTTTAAGTAAAAATTTCAGTTAAAAAGAATAGCAATTTAAAGAAGTCTGTGCTGAAAAAATAGTGGTTTAACATGCATAGCTGCAGAAAGCACATGGCTGTATTTATATTGTGGAGCATGGCTCTTCCTTTACAGCCATTTATGTCCTAGTAAATAGAGCTAACTAGTTTCCTCTTTCTTATTTTCTTGTGCATGTATGGAAAGTAAAGTAGTAACTGTAATATGTTACCTCCATTAGCAGAAGAATACTTTGCAAATACTTCTGAATATAGAAAATCAGTTAATTCTAATAATATCTCAGGTGTTTGTTTTGTTTTTTTATATAATTCATGGATTAGAGTAAAGTTTTGAGAAGTTTATTTTATCAGTGGAAATACGTGATACTGGGAATGTGACAATAAATTAATCTAGTATTTCAACATTGAAGGAAATGATACCTGAGTTTTGAGTTTTGTTTTAGAGACGGATTTCTCTGTGTAGCCCTGCCTGTCCTGGAACTTGCTTTGTAGACCAGGCTGGCCTGGAACTCACAGAGATCCTCTGCCTCTACCTCCTGAGTGCTGGGATTAAAGGCGTGCGCTACCACCACACAGGTAATACCTGTTTTCTTTTAATTATAGTACAAATATTGTTTAGAGGAACATAAAGTCATGGTCAAACTAGTATTTGCACTATATTAAAGAATTTATAACGACAGAATACAGATTTGGGAGTCTGGTAAGGTATCTTCAGAGTGTAATAGCACTTGCTGCCTTACCTAAAAATCTGAGTGTGGTCCCTGGAACCCATATAAAGGAGAAAACTAACTCCCATGAGTTGTCCTTTGATCTCCACTTGTGCATAGTGGCATGTACACAAACACACACACATACAGAATAAATATTTATTTTTTTAATAAAAATGTATTGAATTGGTTTTGACACACCCATCATTCATGATATCTAAGCAAGCTGATATTCTATCAGATATTTCAAAAGTTCACAATATAGTATTTTAACTTAAAATTGTATTGGACTTTTTTAAGAAAATGTTTCACCAGGTCAGTATTTGTGTTAACTTTGCTACCCAAGAACAATACTTAGAAATATTTCAAAATATATATACCGTTCCATATTTGTTGCTTGAAGATGTTCAGTGAGCCCGAAGTAAAGTACTATCCTATCTAAAAACACATATCTTGATCACTTTTAGCAGTCCAAAAGATAACAACAGTGGCAAATGTGGCACCTGTAATGCCAGGTACTGGGAGGCTGAGGAAGAAGGATTGCAAGTTTGGGCTATCTTGAACTATATAGTAGAAACCTGTCTTTAAAGAAAAATCCAACAATAAAAATCAAAAGGTAGTAAGATTATACACTTACATTATTTCTCATTAATTGTTTCCACCTTTCCTTCTAAGATGTTGTATCAGAATTTTGATCGAAATATTTATCTTATTCTTTCCTACTTCCCACTGGTAGACTGTTATCTAGGATCAACTAAGTCATGTTCTTTTGTTTTAGTTTTTATTTTTATTTTTGAGAAAAGAGTTAGCTAGCCTTGGTTGGCCTGGAATTCACTCTGCAGACCAGGCTGGCATTGAATTCATAGAGATCCACCTGCCTCTGCTTGTCAAGAGTCATATAAATCTTGTTCTTATCTGTTTCTGCTACTATTTCTCTGTCAGTAGACAATGGTCCAGATTGGTTAAAGATATGATTTTCTCACTTCTTGTTGGGCATATGATTTTGCACTTTAGTTTGTTTTCCTGAAAAGTCTTTGACGCAATGAAACTTTTTTTTTTTCTTTTTCAGGTTAAATGATAAAGACTTATTCCTTGGCTGGTTGTCTACTCCCACCTTGAGGAAAGAACAGGGTAGAAAGCCACTGAGAAATCACACTGGCCTAGTACAAGGAAGGAGGACAGTCATTCCCTTTAAAAGGGTTGGTGGCCTTTGTCTTTCTTAATCCAAGAAGACTTAAGAGGATATGTATAAAGGAACCAGCAAATGATGCTGTGGTCAAGGGGGATGTGCTAGACCCCCCAGCTGACTCAAATCCTCTTCTCTTTCAAGTGTATTTCCAACATTATGAGACTACCCTTAGCAGGCACAATAGTCAGTGTTCATGTATCCTAAAACTTGATCAATGAGACCACCTTTTCTTCACTCACAACTGCAAGCAACTAACTCACTCAGTCTAAAGAAAGTATGACAGTTGCATGCTAAATTTCATAAAACAGCATGACTTGTTGTTTTGTACCAAAGGTTTGGTTTTTTGTTTGTTTATTTGTTTGTTTTTCTGTAGGACTAGAAATTGAACCTTGTGTAAACTGGGACAGTGGTCTACCATTGAGCAACATTCCTAACCCAATGTTTTTTATTATCCTATCCCTATTGTATCTGTTGTTAAGGATTGATATGTTAATTATATTAAGATAGTTGTGAATATTTGTAATAAAGGAAAAATCTTTTGAACATTTGTCTTATTTGAAACACATATATGGAACTTTTCTGTGTCTAGTTTTGAATTGGCTTAAGTAGGTATTTTTGCCTTATGAATGAGACTCTGTACACAGGTCTCCTAGGAGCAGGTATTTAAAATTATTTCACTTTCCCTTGCTTTCCCACATATGTACTTTTGTTGCATTTGTTATTCTGCTTTCTCTTTCACTCTTTTGGATCAATTGCTTTTCAAGTTTGTATCTATTCTTGACTAAAATGTGCTTTTTGAATAGGCTGGTATTTTTCTAAAAATTATTATTAGTATATTAAGTATCCGCAGCTATATTGGGGGAAATATTTTATAGAATTAGTTTAACCTCAGTCTTTATTCTTTTCAATACAGTATTTCTCAATCTCGAGGCCTGAAGAATTTACATGTTGGGAACTGCTGTTTTCCATCAGAAACTCCAGTAATGTGTGAGTAGTTTTTGTTTTTCATTGTGATTTGTTCCAGTTGGCTTTTTTCTGTGTTAATCACGGGAAATTTTATTTTCCATAACTTTAAGAATCTGTGATATACTCATTGTATGATAGTTGTAAGTAATAGGTGATACAGAATGATTTATTGAAAGATGTTTTAAAATGTCTCTTGGAGGGAGTATAATGCATACTCTGAAATCCCTGCATTCAGAAAGATGAGGCAGGAGGCTTGTGAGTTCAAATCCAGCAGAAAATTTTTTATATTTAATCAACTGGCCTACTGTGGTACTGGTCATTTTCATACATAAGTTTGAGTCTGTGATTATCATATAATACCTAGAAATTTCAGTAGTAGTTGATTTTTTTAATAGCCTAGAAGATCTTAAACTCGCCATCCTCAGCCCCCTATAAGCTGGGGTTACAAGTGTCTGTCACTGTACCTGGCACTGGTAGTTACTTTGCAAAACTTAAGTGTTCATAATCATATACATATATATGTGTTGCTATGTATATATACATAATATATACTGATGTATATGTATGTAATAATACGTATGTATATAAAGTTTCCTCAAATGTTCACTCTTGCCTTTTCTTGTCTTTAGAAGCAGTCTAACATGCTTAGCTACTTTGACCTAATGGAGTGAGATAAGAAATAAAAAGCATCTGGATTGGACAGAGATTGAAAGGGAGAAAAACAAAGCAATCTCCCATTAGTTAATGAATGGGTAAGAGCCTTCTTGTAATGCCTTTCCAACTTAGTTATCTTATGTTTTTTTATGAGTAGAGCACACATTCTCCTTCTTTTCTATTTTCAAGGAAAATAGATTTCATTTGAAGATATAATCAGGCTGTTCAACGTATCCATCTTAGTGGTAGTGTGCTTACCTTGTTATCTGCAAGATGCTGGTTTCCATCCCTAGCACTTTAGTATATTAGACTACTTATCCTGATCTTCGATTTACTGAGGCACAAATATATCTTGTATGAAAACCCTCTGGGCTGGGTATAGTGGTACACATTTTTAATCTCAGTACTTGGGAGGCAGAGGCATGTGAATCTCTGTGAGTTTGAGGTGAGCCTGGTCTACATAGTAAATTTACATACAGTCAGAGCTATGTAGTGAGACCCTCTGTCTTGGAGGGGAAAAAAGAAAGGAAGAAAAATTTCTGAAGGTGCTATATGCCATAAATCATTCTTAAAATAAGTAAAATACTAGCAAAGAAGACATAATAAATCTTAATATAGTATTTTTATTAATTTTTAAAGAGTTTCTTCAAGTATATTTTGATCATCTTCACCTTGTACTCCTCTCCCAGGTATATAAAAGAGACCTGTAATAAGCATTTTATCTTATTTATATTTTATTTGTGTGTATCTGTACATATGTAGTATATACATGATATGACATGTAAATGGATACCAGAGGACATTTTGTGGGAGTCAGTTCTCTCATTCCACCCTGTGGATCCAAGAAATTGAACTTAGGTAATCAGGCTTGGTACCAAGTGCCTTTACCCTCTGAGCCACCTTGCCAGATCCTAAACATTCTATCTTATGTGTGGTTCCTAAAGTAATCTATAACATTTTGAACAAAGAAGAATTATCAAATAATTATTGATAAATGATGCAGTATTGTTACTTCAAATTAATAAAATTTCAGGACTTTGTATTACAGCTATTATCTGAAGAACCTTTGGATTAAATGCATGGGTTTTTTTTTTTTTTGTGATCCCCAGTTTCCAAAAATTAACGTAAAGAAATTTACTTTCTGAGGCTGATAGTTCATAGTAGACCATTTCCCAGAAGGCCCTAGGATCAATCCCCACCAACCAAAAAAAAAAAAAAAAAAAACCAACAGAGAAAGAAGTTTGCCTTTTAGTATAGGTGTGTGTGTGTGTATAGATTATATGTGTGAGTTCATGTTTGTGTGTCTCTAAGCATGTATACATTCACAAGTGTCTGTTTACATGCAGACTTGTGCTTCATCTCTGATGTTTCCCTCTGTAAGTCCCCAACTCATGTCTTGACACGGGTTTCTCACTAAGCCTGGAGCTCACCTGGATAGAGGGATACATAGGGATCTACTGTTTGTATTGCCCCCCTCCAAGCACCCCCAGCTTTTACATGGTGCTGGGCATCTAAACACAGGTCATCATGCTTACACAGCAGATACTTTACCCTGAACCATCTCTGCCCAGTATGGAAGGTTGTACTCTGATGTGTGACACAAATTCCCTCAGGGAAGGTTATTTACTTAGTACTAGCACTTTTTAGAGCAAATTGTAGAGTTTTTCTAGTTATTAGGTGGTAAATTAGGGTTTATTGCTCAAGTACATTTTGGAAATTCTGGGATTTAAGCAAATGACTAAGTTTAAAATTAATCTTTCCACATATATGAAATATATGCTATACTAATCTTTGTACCCCATATCTCATATGTAACTGTGACAAAGAGGTTTATGGTATATGCGTGCCTAATTTATTTGTCTTTGGGAGTTTTTTCTTGTTTGCCTTTATTATAACCAAAACTGACATAAGACTCCATGGTGGATTGTTGTTTTAAATAGAACTTTCCTCCCTGTGACAGTGCTTTACAAGTAATGACAATGCTAGAAACATATTAGCTAAAGAAGAAATTAAGGTTTAAGATTAATTAAGAAATTAAGTTGAAGGAGCTTTTACTCTTAAAGGCTTATAGATATGTGAATATATTTGTCGTTTTAGTTTATTGTAAGAGTATAGTACTCTTTTATGTGAGTTTTTGTTTGTTGTATCTACCGAGACTCATTCATGGTAGATTTTTCCTTGTATGTTTTTGTGGTTTAGAATAGGAGCTCATCTTCAGGTGGGCTTTGTCTGTGGAAACCTGGCCTTAGGGTGTAGCCTCCTGCAAAGATATCACTAGTCTCAGAATACTTTTATTATATGTTTCTTAGTTGGAGCTTCCTGGAACCTTAAAAGTAGCTTAAGTTCAAGGTCCAGAGTCTAACTGCAGCTCAAGCCAGGGATACACTGAAGTCAACTTCATTATATGTTACTGGATAGGCAGTGTTTTGTTTCAGTGCTTGGGGTTGAACCTAGGGCCTCACACATGCTCTACCACTGAGCTACACCCAAGTCCAGTATGGATAGGTTTTAAAATTCACTCTTTAATCAAGAATCTAGTCATTTGGGGTTTTTGGTTTTATATAGCTGCTTCCTTCTAGTTTATTGTCTGATTTGGTTCTGAAGCCTTGTTTCTCTCCTTGTAATGCCTTTTAAAGCACAACCCCTTGATTATTGAGGAGATGGCAGTTTTTCTGACCTAACATTAGCTTATATATTGCATTCTGGCTTTCAGTTTCCTCAGTATTTTTGATGCTATGGGAACTTGCATTCTATTTTAAAGGTTCATCTATATTTAAAGGGCTGGGTTTTTGTTATTGTTGTTGTTATCTACTTCAATGATCTAGGTTTCTGTGATACCAGAATTGAAGATTTCTGTATTAGTTTTATAATAAAAATGCCAAAAATTGTCTCATTTTCAAAAAAGGCATGCTTTTCACTTACATGGGTAAAATGTCTAATACTAGTGTGACTAGGACTTGCGTTCTTTATAGATTTGCACTTTGACTTGACCAATTATAGAACAAGACCTTTTATTTTTCATTTAGATGCAAGTTTAGTAATGGAAGATGATTGAAGACAAGGGGCCTCGTGTTGCTGACTACTTTGTTGTAGCAGGCTTAACTGATGTTTCAAAGCCTCTTGAAGAGGAAATTCACTTCAACGATGCCTGTCACAAAGTGGCTAAACCAAAAGAACCCATCACAGATGTTTCTGTTATCATCAAATCCCTTGGGGAGGAGGTGCCACGGGATTACACATGTATTGACTTTACCCCAACTGGATTGTCAGCAGATCTCAATAATGGAAGTCTTGTAGGACCCCAGATTTACCTTTGCTATAAAAGAGGGAGAGATAAACCTCCACTTACAGATCTGGGGTGAGTATTTTTTAGTGAATTACTATTATTAATCCAAATTGTATGCTTTGTGAATTTTGAAGTTAAACTTAGTTTTGGTCATTAATAGTGGTATGATAGCTTTACAGTCAGACACATTTGCTTGGGTGTAGTCCATATTCCTGTAATCCTAGCATTTGATAGGCTAGGGAAGGAAGATTGATATGTTTGATGTCAGACTTGGCTACATAGTGAGAATGCATTTTGCCTACTACCCACTAAAATAAGGGGAGATTAAAAAAATAAAGCAATACCCAGTATTCTATATTCACTGTCTCCATCTGTCTGTCCTGCAAGTCCTAGTGCTCCCCTTCCTGTTAGATAGCATGTTTTTAAGCTCATCCTTATTCTAATATGTACTGATACCTTATTCCTTTAAATGACCTAATAGTAGTCCAACATATGGTTGCACTATAATTTATCTTGTCACTAGTTGGTGGGTATTTGGGCTATTTATACATTGAGGCTATTATTACTAATGCTTTTATGATTGATTATTCATGTATAAGTTTTTATGTAGACATATTTTTATTATTTGTGTATATATACTTAGAAGTGGAATTACTGGATCATATGATAATTCTGTATTTAACCTTTTGAGAAACTTCCAGAATATTTTCCAAAGCAGCTTTACAAGTATTGCACATTCTCACCAATAGAGTGTGAGGGTTCTGATATTTTTCACAGTCTGAATAATAGTTCGTATTTCTATTTGATTATTTTTGTGCTAGTGAGTATGAAATGGAATCTCATTGTGACTTTAATTTGCACTCTTGTGTTTGATGATACTGAACATCTTTCCATGTGTTTATTGGCAAGTGTCAATTGAGAAATGCCTGCTTAGCTCTTTTACTCATTTCTTAATTAGGTTATATTTTTATTGATGAGTTATAGTATTCATTCCAAATTCTTAATACAGTCCTTCATTAGGTATATGTTTAACAAATATTTTCCCCACTTGAAATTTTTTTAAGTATACATGTTTTGTCAGCATGTATATCTGTGTACCACATGTATGCGTAGGGCCCAGGAAGGCCAAAGGAGGGCATTGGATCCCCTGAAATGAGTTACAGATGGGTGTGAGCCACCAAGTGGGTACTAGGAACTAGATCCTTTGGAGGAGCAGCCAATGCTCTTATCCACTGAGCTATGTCTCCAGCCTCCTCTCCATTCTTTATAATATCCCTCTCATCATGGTATCTTTGAAGTTAAGAAATTGTATTATTTATTTGTTTAATTTGTCTCTGTCTCCCTCTGCCACCCGCCCCCCGTGTGTGTGTGTCTGTGTGTGTGTGTTCTACCACATACGTTGCAAAATCTAACTCAGGTTGTCATGCTTTGTAACAACTGTCTTTACCCACTGTCCCATGGTTTGATTTCATAACTAAGTAGTGTAAGGCTCTGGGAAGTTAAATGTTGCCTAAGGTAATACAACTAGCAGTAGCATTTTTTTTAAAAAAAATTATGATGCTTTTAACTTCTTTCTGTTTAGACACTTTTAGTAAAAGTATTATAGCAAAATTATGCAAGAAGATATTGTCTTGTCATACAACCTTCTGTAGATTTTAACTTTGACTAAAACATGGGTTACATTTCCCACAGAATGTGCTTGATTTTTATAGAGCATAGGTAAGTAAATATATTAATAAATAACTAATTGGAATACTGGACATTAATTATTGCCACTCTTATATTAATAAGCACAAAACATTATTTTAAGTTTTGATAGAGAAATAGTTATTTGGACTGTGCAATGTAGTCTTTAAGTAAGTTGTAGGGTGTAGTAAAAAACTGTTAACTGGAAGCATGGAGGTGATGATACACATCTTTAATCCCAGCACTTGGGAGGCAGAGGCAGGTAGATCTCTGAGTTTGAGGCCAGCCTGGTCTACAGAACAAGTTCTAGGCCATCCAGGGCTACACAGAGAAACCCTGTTTTGAAAAAAACAAAAAACAAAACAACAACAAAAAACTTAACTGGAAAGAGTCAAAGTGAAATATGAGGGCAGAATATACCCAACTCTTTTCTGCAGAAGATGGAGATTATGACAGAATCTCAGGTAGCCATGGCTTTGAACTTGTTATGTAGCCAGGGATGATACTCCATTTCTGATCTTCCTGCCTCCTCTTCCTGAGTACTGGACTCAGTGTGTACTGACAAACACAGTTTATACAGTGCTGTATTTTAGGATGTATCCATGGTACTTGAGAGTGTTATCTTTTAGGTTTCAGAGAACTTTATGCATTTACTTTTTAAATTTTTATGTTTTAGGGTATTATATGACTGGAAAGAAAGACTAAAACAGGGCTGTGAGATTATTCAAAGTACTCCCTATGGACGACCTGCCAATATTAGTGGCAGTACCTCATCACAAAGAATCTATATCACTTACCGAAGAGCCTCTGAAAACATGACTCAGAATACCCTTGCTGTCACAGACATATGCATTATTATACCCAGTAAAGGAGAAAGTCCACCACACACATTCTGCAAGGTCGACAAGAATCTCAACAATAGTATGGTAAGTCAATTCTTTAGCACTGATACAATTAGCCACTCACCAGTGAAGAACATAATTGTAAATCTTTTCTTGAAAAATAAAATAACATAACAGATTTGGAAAAAATATGGTTTTTAAGGATGTTGGATATTTTATTGTTTTAGAAAGTACTTAGTTGTACTTTCACTAAAAAACTGTGTAAGAAACTTTGTACTTCTCTACTTCTCTGTCCTTTCCTTCTTCCTTCCAACTTAAATAGCTTTTCAGTGTTCCTACAAAATCAGTAAATTAACACCATGGCTGTCTCCGTGCTCTCCGCTTGCATGCTGGACCCCATGCATACACAGCTGTAAGGACGTGGCTTTGGCAGTCTTCTCTACTTCTTTATTCGCCATCAGTTTTCTTCTGTTAGACGCAGGCAAAACTTGTTGCAATATGTCCATCTTTATAGAACTTTTTGATTCCATATTCCCCTTTCTTTCGCTGTCCCATTTCACCATTCTTTACAGTAAAACTTTTCAACCTCTGAGTATGTGATTGGGGATGAAGAGGGTGTAGCTGAATTGGTATAGTTCTTTCCTAGCATGCATAAGGCCCTGTTTCCATCCCCTGTGCTACATAAACTAGGTATAGTGGAACATGCCTGTAATTAAAACACTCAGGAATTGAGGCAGGAGGATGAGAAATTTAAGGTCATAATTGGCCATGTAGCAAGTTCAAAGCCACTCTGAGCTACTTTGAGACCTTGTCACAACTTACAAAAAAGTGTTGAGTGTATTTTACCTCATCTTTTACTTGCACTTTCCAGCTAAGTTTTTGTCTGCAACATCCCAAGATTTTTCTTGTTACTGAGTCCAGTGATCAGTTCTTCATCTCAGTGTTTTAGATTTTGTTCTAGATGGTATTTTTTCCCCATCAACAGTGGCAAGAAGAGATGATGCACTGGCTTATGTACTTGGTTCTTTTCCCTCTTACCTCACCAGTCATTCCCTTTCCGTCTCCCAGCATCCTGTGCAGTGGAGTGCTCAGGGTTCAGTCCTCAGTGTATTCATCTTCACAATCAAAGCTTACTCCTTTGTTGATGTAATTATTTTAATACAGTGTGTGAGTGACTTGTAAATTTCTATGTCTGACCAAACCCTCTAATTTATTGTCTCTTGTTAGTTATTGTACTTATTAGAGCACCTCAAATTTAACATGACCTGCAGTGAAATCTTGATGTACCTTTTCAGACCTTCTTGATGTCACAATCTTGCTTGTCTAATAAGTGAATATTTTACTCAAACTTACTTAGACTAACAAACTTTGGAGAAATATGAACTTCCATTTTTTAATTAATTGTATTCTCCTATAAACTTGGTTGACTCTAGTTTCAAAGCATACCATGAACTTGATCATCTCCTAACCATTTCAGTGTCATAAGCCTGATCAAAGCTAGAATAGTCTTTAAAAAGTTGCATTTACTTACTTGTTTATTTTTCTTTGAGACAAGTCTCACTATGTAGACCAGGCTGAACTCATAGAGATCCTCTGCCTCTGCCTCCCAAGTGCTGGGGTTAAAGATGTGTGTTACCACTCCTGGTCCCGTGTGTGTGTGTGTGTGTGTGTGTCATTTCTTTTCAACAAGCTTTTTTGCAACTCATCTATATTAGTTTATATAATTTTCTACTGTCTTTCAATAATTAAAAACTATTCCAGAAACTACAAATATAGGGTAATAAATACAAGTTATTTCTAGATTTCCATATTACCAGTGATGCAGCTTTGATCAACCCTATGCCTTTTTCTATGAATGTTTGTTAAAATAACACTGGAAGAACAAATAATTGAAAGTAGAATTAGGGATTGGAGAGGTGACTAAGGGTAAGAGCACTGGATACTCTTGCAGAGAACCCAGATTTGGTTCCCAGCACCCACTTGGTGGCTTACAACCAGGTATGCACATGGTCCACATATATGCAAGCAGGCAAGCATTCATACATATAAATAAAAATTTTTAAAAGGAAGTAGAATAGATGGGTCTGTAGGTATCCGTGTCTTTGGAAATATGTTGACAGGTTTCTTTGAAAACATGATAGTAGCTGGATGGTTTTGGTGCACATCCTTAATCCCACCACTCAGAAGGTAGAAGTAGGTGGATCTCTGAGTTTGAGTCCAGCTTGGTCTACAGAGTGAGTTCCAAGACAGCCAGGGATATACAGGAAAACTGTGTCTTGAAAAATGAGAGAGAGAGAGAATATGGTGGTGACTTGCATTTCCTTTATCCCTAGTCTGTAAGAATGCCTCCTCTTTAGTCCTGCACCTTGCCAACATTGATTGTTGTCAGTTAATGTCTTTTGAATTAACTAAGTATGAATCACTGTGATATTATCGTTTTTGTTATTGTGGAGAGTTAACATCTTTTAATGAATACAACTACCACTGAACCTATGAAAACACATTCTAAGGCTCTTAATGATGCTCCTAGATTTTCCATAAGATTTTTATTTTAAATATGTATGTGTGTTTGGGTATGTGCATTTGAGTGCAGGTGCCCATAAGTTCAGAAGCTTTGGACCTTTGGAGCTGGAGTTACAGGCTTGTGTCCCGCCTGATGTAGTCGCTAGGAACAGAACTCAGAACTCAGATTTCTGCAAGAGAAGTACATGCTCTTAACTGCTGAGCCATCTCTCTGACTTTTCCCCTGGATTCTTGAATAATCATAAATATACTATGTTTCTTATGTGTGTATGTTTATAATAAGGCTTAATTTAAGCATAAGCCATGGTAAGAGATTAGCAACAGTAACTAGGAATGAAATATAACAAAGCAGTATAACAGTAGCCAACATCACTATCTAATATGTTGGAGCCCTTGTTAAGTATGGTGAGGGCTTCTCAAGCACAGACGCTGCTGTTGCTGCTGAGTAATAATTGACAGATAGCAAACGATACGAGTGTATTCTGGACAAAAGGGTGAGTCCTGTCCTAGGCAGGATGGAACAGGATAGTGTAAGCCCCATCACAAATGTCATGCAGGTTAAAAATTCTAAATTGATGGGGGGAGGTACTGATGAGGCCCCATCTCTAGTTGAAGATCTAGTGGTGGTTGATGGCTGCTAGGGGAATGAAAATAACTTTTTTGTTTTTGGGTGTTTTATTTATTTATGGGAGTTTTAACTGTGTGTACATCTGTGTGCCTGGTGTCCAGGGAGGCCAGAAGGTGTACCATCGAATCCCCTAGGACTGGAATTACAAATAGTTTTGAGCAACCGTATGGTTGTTGGGAATTGAATTTGAGTCCTTTAGAAGAGTAGCCAATGCTCTTAATTGTTGAACCATTCCTCCAGCTCTGAGATTAAGTGTTTTGTGAAGGTGTGGCCACTGGTAGGTTGCCCATGCTCTAGAGGATGCCCCCACACCCATGCAATACAGGGAGCACTAATTAGAGTTATTTTTAAGAGAAAGAGAGAGAGAGAGAGAGAGAGAGAGAGAGAGAGAGAGAGAGAGAGAGAGAGAGAAGGAAGAAAAGCAAGAGGGCATGAATTTGGAAGTTAAAGGAGATCCACAGGAGCTGGGGTGGGGGGAAGGAAGGGGTAGTTAATGTGACCAAATTGGCCACAGACAACTGAACTGTGAATGTGTGGATAAGGGAAGTCTAGTGAAAACAGCACTTTTTAATGAAGAGCACTGCATTGGATGGATTTGGTATAATTTGTTCTGTCTTCTAGCATAAGACATTGAAATTCTGATTTTAATGTTAGAAGCAAGCTGTTGACATAACTAAATTTATGTAAAGTAAGTTGTATTCACTGCTTATGTTCTATGTGGTATTCTAAGTATTTCTTCACTTCTGCCAATGACCTTAGTAAGTATTTAACCCCATTTTATAAGGAAGGCTATTTGATAATTAAAAATGTGGTTCTTTTCTCATCTAAACACCTTCAATAAGTTGATGAAGCAAAACTCAGGTTATAAAACTGCAGAACCAAGAGCTAAGCATTGTGCTACACTGCTCATGCCCTGTTGTGTGGCTTATAATTTCTGGGTCAGAACATGTGTTTACTCTCAAGAACTGTATCCAAAAAATTTTAACTGATTTATATTCCTGTCAGTTTATAACTATTTTAAGAATTGAACTTTTAATAACCAATTTTCTTTTCTCTTTTTCCCCCCTTTAGTTTATCAAGACAGGGTTTCTCAGTGAAACAGTCCTGGCTGCCCTGAAAATAGCTTTGTAGACCAGGCTGACCTCTAACCCACAGAGATCCACCTGCCCTTGTGCCTCTGCCTCCCAAGTGCTGGGATTAAAGGCAGACACCATCACTGCCTGGCTTTTTTTTTTTTCTTTCCAGGCCATTCTTCAAATCTTTTATTTGTTTGTCTGTCTGCTTTCTATCTACCTGTTTATTCGTTTGTTCATTTGTTTGTTTGTTTGATTTTCAAGACAAGGTTTCTCTGTGAAACAGCCCTGGCTGTCCTGGAACTCACTCTGTAGACCAGGTTGGCCTCGAACTCACAGAGATTCACCTGCCTCCCAAATGCTGGGATTTAAGGTGTGTGCCACCACCGCCTGGCTTTTTTTTAAAACACCAATTTTCAATTTATTTATTTGATTTTTGTTGAGACAAGGTTTCTCTGTGTAACAGACTGGGCTGTCTTGTAACTCACTCTTTAGATAAGGTTGGCCTCGAAATCACAGAGATCTGCCTGATTCTGTCTCCCTAGGCAATTTATCAATTTTAATTTCCTAGCACATACAATCAAGCACCGTACAGATGTTAGGCTGTTTAATGACAGAATCAGTGAATCCCTTTGAAGGTTAATGCAAAGTCATACTGAGCAGTTTCTTTAAGAAACTATATGAAAAGTGATTACTGCAAATATATAACTTTATCTTAAAAGAATTCATCTGTAGGTATGTCACCCCTAATTAAATGAACATTTTTACTCTAACTAATCATATATAGAAAATTTCCTTGAAGATTGTTATGATTTAGCAATATTATATAACTGTTGAAGGGCTTATAGTAGAAGAAGAAAATCGTGGTAGCAAATAGAATTTTGGGAGTGAAGGGGGGTGGTTGAGGGGTGAGATGCAAGGTATTGTTCTGTACCTCAGCCTGGCCTGGGCCTCACTAGGTATCCAGATGAGCCTCCAGCTCATGGTGATCCTCTTGCCTCACTCACTCTCCCAAGTGCTGAGATTACAAGCACAAGCTCTCATATTTGCCTTACAGGTAGTTTTTAAAGACTGTAGTAATAGTAGTGGTGGGAGCAAAGAACGTTTTTGAATTCTTTCATGAATATGGGATGTAACATACAACATTTCAGATTTGGTGTGGTATTTTAACAAGCTTACAGGTACTTGGCATTTTCCCATTTGCAAGTTTTATTTTGTGGATGTATATATGTATTTGTTTTGAATTGAAAGTAACTGACATTGTCATTATAACTGTTTCTAAGTCTCATTAACTAATCAAGGTGTCTTAGCTAAACTTTTGCCATTAAAACTAAACCCAGAATGTGTTTCTTTTTCTCCTGCTGAGACAGTAGTCTCTCTGTTACCACAAAGCATGTATTCTCCTCTGCCAAGAATAAAGAGGCATTGTTAACAGCATGGTCAGCATAGACTCTAGCTAACCTGCTTGCGTTTGAATCTCAGATATGTAGAGTGGACAAATTCCCTCACTATTTGTGCCTCAATTTCCTCCTTCATAGCATATGGATAAAGTGATTTTCCTACATACACATTTTTGAAGAATAAATTAATTAGTATTAGAAAGAACTTAGGATAATGCCTGCAGTAATAGCAAATGATGTATAAGTGTCAGATGTTATTACTACTTAATTCTTTTTTATTATTTAATATTTAGAGAGGCGCTTTTAAGAATTGTCTAGTTGTTAAATTGTCTGAAATTTTCTTTTTAAAAAAGATCATAAAAAGAAATATTACATGATTATTTTCATACTTTTCTTTTTTATGTCTTATTTATTTATTAAAAATTTCCTCCTCCTCCCATTTCTCTCCCCTTCCCCCCTCCCGCTCCTTCTCCAGTCCTAAGAGCAGTCAGGGTTCCCTGCCTTATGGGAAGTCCAAGGTCCTCCCCGCTCCATCCAGGTCTAGGAAGGTGAGCATCCAAACAGGCTAGGCTCCCACAAAACCAGTGCATGCAGGAGGATCAAAACCCAGTGCCATTGTTCTTGGCTTCTCAGTCAGCCCTCATTGTCAGCCACATTCAGAGAGTCAGGTTTGATCACATGCTCCATCAGTCCCAGTCCAGCTGGCCCTGATAAGCTCCCATTAGATCAGTCCCACCTTCTAAGTGGGTGAACGCACCCCTCACGGTCCTGACTTCCTTGCTCATGTTCTCCCTCCTTCTGCTCTTCATTTGGACCTTGGGAGCTCAGTCCAGTGCTCCAATGTGGGTCTCTGTCTCTATCTCCATCCATCGCCGGATGAAGGTTCTATGGTGATATGCAAGATATTCATCAGTGTAGCTATGGTACTTTTCAATCAACGACCAAAGAATGGTTGTTGACATTTCTGCCTAAGTTTGAGACATAGAATAAAGTATAAATTTTTGTGACTTAGTTTTATTTTATAGGGCCAATTTTCCCCACCACAGTGAAAAGGGGAATTGTCAGACATTATGAAAAAAGTAGGCAATGATTCTAATAAAATGCTAACAAAGTAACAGATTGAAAATAGCTGACAGGTGAAATCTGTTCAAATGTGGTAGCTAATACATATTGGACAGCTCAAAGAAGTTCCATTTTCATCAGGTTACTGCCTTTTAAAGTTGAATGCTATTTTTTTCCTCTCTCTTCAGTGGGGATCTGCAGTGTACTTATGCTATAAAAAATCAGTGGCAAAGACTAACACTATATCCTACAAAGCAGGTAAGAATAATTTGGGGGGGGAATAATTTATGTAGAAACAGCTTGTGGGGTCTACAAGGCTAAAGACCAAACCAGCCTGTGTGCCATGTTAGGATGTGTTAGTATCGGCAGTTGAGCTCCAGCCCGTCTCTTGAGTCTCAGTTTATCTTGAAGTGTTTTGGACACTGCATGAAAGATCACTTTGAAAGGAAAGTGAGATTATGTATTTAAGCCTTAAATTTAAGTAACAAGTCAAGCTGTGGTGGCACACGACTTTAATCCCAGCACTCAGGAGACAGAGGCAGGCGAATCTCTGTGAGTTCAAGGCCAGCCTTGTCTACAAAGACAATTCCAGGACAGCCAGGGCTACACAGAGAAACCCTGTCTCAAAAAATAAAGAGCAAAAACAACAACAACAAAGTGTAAGAAACAGCTTCAGCACATGCCAATTCTCTTTAATTTTTAAACCTGTGCAAAGTATGAAAAGTATACTTCCTTAATATTTATATTAATTTAGTCAGATTTAATGGTTATATTTCATGATTATGAATAGTATTAAAACTTATTTGCAATTTTATGAAGTATAGTCAAAATGTCAAATGTATTGATCTTACTTATAAGAAATCAGATTCAACCTTTTAAAATTAAGAGTCCTTGACTCTTTTTTCCCTTTGACTTTCCAGGGCCCACAATTCATCAATATTTCTATTCTCACTTTATAACTGCACTGTTGCATCATGACCTGAGAGACTAGAGCACAGTCAGCTATGGCCCTCAGGGAACCCCACTGGCTGGTTGGCATGTGATTAGAGGGAGAACCTTAGTTTATCTAGTTCATCTCGCCTTACAGATGAAAAGAAAAGATCTGTTTGTTGAGAATCAGAGACATTGGTAGTAGAGTCAGCTGTTCAGATTCCCAGTTTGTCTTTTTGTTTTTATGGCATTACCAGCCATGGTTTCTACCTAACTTCAAGGACTTAATTGTCATGAAACCTGATTTCTATTTCTAACACCACAATATTCAGTATAAATATCTGTTTCTAGTGTATGTTCAGTGGAAGATACCTATTCCATTTTCATGAGTAAATTATCATGAAACCCTAGGTTATTTGAAACTCCTATGAACATATAAGTGGGGATAATTTAGAATTATTCAGAAGCTGAGTTTGTGGTAACACCATTCTAATGGTATTCCAAATCTGTGCTACTCTTTTGTGAATTATTTTTCATTTGTGTAAGAATTTACAATTAAATACCTATAGGAGATTTTATTTATATATATTACATATATAAATGTATATTTATATACAAACATATATTAATATATTATATGTAATATATTAAAAGGCCTAGAAGAATAGTTAATAAGAGTGATAAAGTAGATATAGGCAAACAACCATATTGAAAGTTTTAAATATATGCTTTACTGTAGTATGGCATGAGGTGAATTTTTAGGGGTATGTGTATTTTTAGAGGATTCTCTTTTTCTTACTTCTAACCTAGCTTTTGTAGATGAAGTTTGATAACTGTTAAACAATCTAATAGTTAATAATCCTTGAAGATTAGCATCTATATAAATCCTACTCACACATTCAGAATTAACTGAATATAAACATATATGCAATTTTTGACCTTCTAAATGTGTGAGATAAAGTATTTTATTATCATTCAACTTAGAAAACACCTACATTCAGGAGACAGTGATCTAATAGTTCCCATTGCTGTCATAGGTCTAATTTGCAGATATCCTCAAGAAGATTATGAGTCATTTTCACTACCAGAATCTGTTCCCCTGTTTTGTTTACCAATGGGTGCAACTATCGAATGCTGGCCACCAAACAGCAAATACCCTCTTCCTGTGTTCTCTACATTTGTGTTGACTGGAGCCTCAGCTGAAAAGGTACTGTGTATTTACTAGTGGTATTTGCTAATTTCTTGTACCTGTTAAAGCCATAAGCTTCATATCTTCAAGGAACAATAGTTAAAAACTGACTAAATCAAGCCAGTAATACATATTTCTTCTACTTGGTCGAATTTGCGATATCCAGAGACAGGAAAGCAGAGTTTTCCCATCCTTCCAAGTGCTTGTTTTTGGTCTTGTTTTTAAATATTAGTGAAAACTTTTCTCGTCCCCACATGTTGATCCCTCATTGGTTCATATTCTGTGATAGAAAAGCTCCTAAGTAATGTCAAAGACATCATGAAATATGACATGACTTTTTTTGTTTTTGTTCTGTTTTTGTTACTGGGGCTCAAACCTTGCCCTTGATAGATGAGTGCTCTATTGCTGAACTATATTCCAGCCCTGGAATTACAGAGTTGTAGTTGGAAGAGAGCCTGGAAATCATCTAGACCAGCACTTTCAGTTTGTGGATAGGAAAATCCAGTGAATTATTCACAGTTCAAATTTGTCTCACTTACTAATATTCAAGGATTTCTTATAAAAACATTTGATTTGTTTTTTGTTTTGTTTTGTGGCTGTTGTCATTGTTCTTGGTTTGAGACAGCATCTTTCTGTGTAGACCAGGTTGCTCTTGAACTTGCTTAGATCCTCTGCATCCTGAATGCAGGAGTTCTAGGCTTGAGTCACCATGCCAAGGAACAGTTGCTTTCAGTCTTTATTTTAAAAATATAGTTAACTCAAAATACCTATTTTCAATAGTAAGTATGCTTGAAAAATATTGTTGTGTAGTTAGTAGATGTACTGAGAAAGCAGTCAGAAGGTGTGGTGGCTCATGCCCATAAACCCAGTGCCTCAAGAGACCGAAGCAGAAGATTGCAAGTTTGAGACCAGCCCAGGAGACCCTGCAGCCTAGGAGACCCTTTAGCCTGTAAATTTTTCTATTTTAAAAGAAGAACAAGATTGATTTTAGCATTGTGTTCCTAGTCTCTGGCACTTTACCTACTCATAGAAAGCATCCACTAAATGTTCGAGTGATGATGTGCTTTGAGTAAATAATACTAAGTATATTTATTAAATATATGTCCTGTTTTACAGGTCTATGGTGCTGCTATTCAGTTTTATGAACCATACTCTGAGGAGAATCTTACAGAAAAACAGAGACTTCTTTTGGGTTTAACGTCTCAGGAGGATGGAAAGTCTGATGGTTCTAGAACAATTCACACTAACAAATGCATTTGCCTTCTTTCTCACTGGCCTTTTTTTGATGCATTCAGAAAGTTTCTGACTTTTCTTTATCGTTATTCCATCTCTGGACCTCATGCCCTTCCAATTGAAAAGTAAGTTAGATGTCTTATGATTTAAAATTTGACACTTCGAAGTGGGCATGATACATATTTCTGTGAGTTTGAGGCCAGCCTGATCAGCATAGTGAGTTCCAGGACAGCCATGGTTATGTAGAGAGACCCTGTTCAAATAAAATTTTTCAGCTCTTTCTGTAGTATATTCGTACTAGTAATTGTGTAAATTTTATATGGAAATTGTTTTTATTGAGAGTTATTTGAAAAAGTTTGGTTATTTATGTAAGACTTCATTATAATATTTTTATAGTCTTGTTTTTTTAAGTAATTTTATTTCTACCAGAAAATAGTTTAATTTATTTTGAAGTGAGTATTTGGAATATATATATATATACATATATATGTATATATATATATATTATTCTTAATGAAGTTTATAGCTGCCAACTTAATGAAATACTAGAACTAGGTTTTTTTGAGGTGCCAGAGATCAAATTCAGAGCCTTATCCATGCCATATAAGTGCTTTGTCATTGAGTTGCATCCCCAGCCTGGAAATATTAAAACTCTTAAACTGTATTTGTATTATGTATAATTTGAGGTATTATGAACCTTTAAAATAGTCCTGTGTTTAGATATCATGAATTTGAAAGAAAAAATTGATAGACATTCTGTTTTTCATTTTGTAATTTTAGTGATTTACTAAGAGCACTAAAATTTTATGATGTTTCATTCAGTAAGACAATGCAGAGGAGGTATAAATACATCACTGTAGATTTGACTTTTGTCTTTGGAGGCTCTTAATCATACTTTGATCTCTGTTACTTCAAGCCATCTATCTCTTCAGTCCTTTTTTTTTTTTTTTTCTTTTGATTTTTTGAGACAGGGTGTCTTTTGGTTCCTGTCCTGGAACTAGCTCTTGTAGACCAGGCTGGCCTTGAACTCACAGAGATCCGCCTGCCTCTGCCTCCCGAGTGCTGGGATTAAAGGCGTGCGCCACCACTGCCCGGCTCTTCAGTCCTTTGACAGAATTTTCTGACTCTGTTGACAGTTGGAAAGTAATACAGTTACCATTTTTATGATAGTTCATAAATATAATATTGCTCTAATTATCCTATGCTCTGTTCTACTCTCAATTTTAGTTTTAAAAAGCTAGCACTTCTCAAGTATTTTGATGTTAGAATTCATTTAAAATTTTATGAGGACTCAGTGAGCCTTTCTTTGTATGTTGTGTCTTTCAGTGCAGACATCTTACAACAGAAATTAAAACTAATTCATAATCATTTATTTAAAATTAATAAACTAGTTACATCTCCTTGAAAAGTAACTTTTTAAAAACAAAATGTTAATGAGAAGAGTGTTTACGTTTTTTAAGCCTCTAATGCCTTGGCTGATTGAACCCTTTCAATTGATTGAGTTCTCTTTCATGGTTCTGTATTCAGTCTGATGCAGTATTGTCTTAGTTGAGGTATGTGAAGAAAATCTGACATCATACAGATATGAAAATAGAAAATGAAGGGGCACTTAAATAGTTACTTTAGGATTGTGGATATTATTTTTTGGCACTGTATCAAAGCTTGGCAAGTGATAGTTTCTTCCAAATTAATGAAATTAAACCTAAGTAATAGAGTTTCCTTCTGTGTTCTGTTAAAATCTGAAGGTCTCTTTGAGTCTTGACTGAACACTGACTCATGCATGATCTTGTAGCATTTGCATTGGTCATTTGGACAACAGTGGTTCACAGAGATAAACACATATTTGAAATGCAGTCAGGTGTCTCCTTCAATATAAGAAAATCACAATTATTAATGTCACTATAGCATCAGAAAGAGTTTACTTTTTAAATTTTTTAATATATATATATGTGTGTGTATGTGTGTGTGTCTGTGTATGCATATTGGCATGTCCTTGTCATGGTGCATATGTGGAGTTCAGAAGACTTTCAGGAGTCTGTTCTCTTCCTTCCTGTGAGTCCTAGAGATTGAACTCAGAGCAAACCAATGACATGTATTCTTTCTCCTAGCTACATTCCCACTTCTCAGAAAAGTTTTGAATATTAGATATCTTTCAGGTTCATGGTGACAAATTCTTGCTTTTCATTTGAAAGTTTGGATTTAATTATTGACAGCAATTATTTCTAGTTTTTTCCTTGCATTAATAGCACTTTGGTCATTTTTATGTGGAAAATATCTTTTGGCTACCCAACACTGGATAAGCTTAACTTGCCAAACATCTTCCAAGCAAAATGGCATTCTTTGTGGAAAAAAATAGCCAACTCACTCATTGCAAAATCAAGATGACCACATGCTTTTGTATAGTAATGCTTTATGAGTATTTACCTCTTCATCACTGAATAGTCTAAATGTGTGCCCTGGAATCAAATATTTACTATTTCAGATACATTAAGTCAGACATCCTTTTTCAAGATTTATTATTTTTGTTTTATGTGTGTGAGTGCTTTGCCTACATGCATGATTCTGTCCACATGTGTGCTTGGAGCCCATGAAGATCAGAATAGGGTACCATGTCCCTGGAACTAGAATTACAGTTGGTTACAAATCACCATGTGGGTGTTGGGAACTGAACCAGGTTTTCTACAAGAATACCAAGTACTCTTAACTGTTGAGCTATCTCTCCAGCCCCAGTCAGAGACATTCTTAAGTGAAACTGATATTTCTTTTACTGTTAGTCTCTCATAGTAAAGTGGTAAAATACTGCATAGTTTACCCCTGCCTGATTCTCAGTAGAGTGCCAGCAGTTCCATTCACAATGATGTGCACTGTCATAGCCACTGGCAACTGTGTGAGAGAGGCAAATGGAGTCTCACTATTCTCTTCAAAGAGTTTGGACCTTGTGAGTGCCTCCCCCCGCCCCAAATGGTTCTGGACACCTTTCGGTTTCCATGATTTATATAGGTCCTGCTTTTCTGACTGCTTCAGGTAATCAAGCAGACGTGTGTATTTTGGTACTCATTCCTCTAATCTTTTTTTTTCTTTTAGATTTTAAGTAAAGGTAGGGACTAGTAGCTTCACACCATTTTACATTTTCTGTTATGTTTGGTATTGTCTTTGCACAATACATAGTTAAAACACATCTGAGTTCTCTACCTGATTGTAATGATTGCATTGCTAAAAAAAAAAAGAATAACATAATTTTGAAATAACATTTAGAAGAAAAACAATACAAGAAGAAGACAGCGTATTCTTAAAGGGAGTAAAGATTTTGTTTTGTCCTTTTTATTTCTATAGTGTTCAAAACCAAACTTATTGATTGGTGCATGACTTTAATCCTGGTGCGCAAGAGGCAAAGACAGGGGGATTACAAGTTCAAGGCCAGCCTGGCCTGTATAGCAAATCCTATCCCCAAAACCTAAGTGATATAATTCAGTGAGAGAATACTTGCTGGTGTCTGCACGGTTTTGGGTTTAATCAGTTTCACCACAAACAAACAAAATGCAAAACAAAACCATCTCAGCTGATCTAGATTTTTATCCATTACTAAATGTAACGCTTATTGAGATGGGAAAGTCTGTGTTTATTGCCCAGCTGCCTTGAATTTCTGATTTCAAGTGATCCTCAGCGTTCCAAGTAGCTGGGACTAGAGGTCTGCATCACTTTATCTTATTCATCATTTATGTAAGCACTTAAACTCAATCATTTTTTAGCATCTTGAATAATTATGTCACAAAACATGAACTATTTATTAAAAGCATATTACGAGTATAATAATTAGCTTCTTTAAGCCAAGGACAATGCCACTGGGTTTTGATCCTACTTCATGTTCTGGCTTTGTGGGAGCCTAGCCAGTTTGGATGTCCACCTTCCTAGACCAAGATGGAGCGGGGAGGACTTTGGACTTTCCACAGGGCAGGGAACCCTGACTGCCCCTCAGACTGGAGAGGGAGGGGGAGAGGAGTGGGGGGAGGGGGAGAGGAGAGGGAGGAGGGGGGGAAAAGGGAGACGGGGAGGGAAATGGGAGGGGGGGGGGGGGAGGGGGAGAGGAGAGGGAGGACGGGGGGGAAAAGGGAGACGGGGAGGGAAATGGGAGGCGGGGAGGAGGCGGAAATCTTTTTTTTTTTTCAATAAAAAAATTATATTAAAAAAAAATAATTAGCTTCTTTAGTAATGTCGATTGTTACCTGCTTAGGGAGAAGAAAACATGGGTTTGAGACAAATAAAATACAAACATTGTTGAATAGGATCAGCTATTAACATAAAGTTACAAGGACTGGAGAGATGGCTAAAGGCTAGGCTCACAACCAAAAGTATAAGGTTATTGGGTTTAGGCAGAGACAACTTTAGTGACACAAACATCTTTTTGTTGTTAATTTGTTCTCCCAGTACTAGGGGCGTTGGAGTTTAAGTGCACAGGGCCTTAATGAGCTTGAACTTGTGATAGCATGCTAATGTCTGCAGCAAATGATATTCATTTTGGAATCAATTTGAGTTTCTGTTTTTGTTTTTAAGGCATATTTCTCATTTTATGCATAAAGTTCCTTTTCCGTCTCCTCAGAGGCCACGGATTTTAGTTCAGGTAAGGTGCTTTTCATATGAGGCCATATGACGGCTCTGACATGTAACAAGACTAACAACTACATGCAGAAAGTAGAATGAGCCCTGGGGAAAACCAGATGTTCTTGCATGTTGGAGTTTAGGCTCTGATGCTTTATTAACTGTCCACAGAAGGGGGTTTTTGGTACACTCCATATAATCCCAACACTTGGAAGGAAGAGGCAGGAGGGCTGAGAATTTGATTTTGTTCTGGACGACGTAGTCACTTCCAGGCCAGCCTTGTCTAGGTAGGGAGTTTGTCTCAAGGAAAAAAGGAAAATATGCAGGGAATGACCCACCAAATTTTTTCTAAATATTGGAAAGTTTGTGCCCTTGATGATCATACAGTTGGTGAAATTCATTAGAGTAGTTATCAGGAAAAGTTGTATGTATTGCAAGAGGACAGAAATGCAGTACCTTTAATGCAACAGGGAAATTTATTTTTTAATTTTTATAATTTTATTTATTTATTTATTTGTTTTACATACCCATCTTATTTCCACCTCACTTCTCTCCTCCCACCTCCCCACCTTCTCTACCCCCTCCCCTCCCCACCCATCCAGTCCTCAGAAAGGGTGAGGACTACACAACAGGGAAATTTAAGTCACTATAAATGTTTTCACAGTTGAGTGCATCTCTCCTCTTTTGTTTATATCTTGTTTGCGTTTTCGATAGCTTAAATTGCCTATTTATTTAACCATAATCTATGAAATGATTCATACAAAGGAAATACTTTCATGTGTTGTCACCATGTGTATACTGGTTACTGCAGTCCTGAGGTGGTATTAGTAGTACTATAAATCATTTCGCAAATAGGTATTTACTAATTTGTAGAAATGTGCATAAATTTGAAAATGCAGGTGAAGTTAATTACATTATTATATTGATACAGAAAAATTTCTAGAACATACTTGATGACATTGACAATCTGTCTATGCATCCTGTCATTACTTCATGATATTTCGTGCCAGAGTGCCATATAGCACACTCCACCTAAATACATGTGGAATTTGTTTTGTAGCAGAAGCTGGCAAATGTTTCCTATTAAGGGTCTTATCTAAACATTTAATCTTTGCATGTTATCTGTTCTCTGTTGCAGGGGCTCAGCTCTGCTGTTACAGCACAAACTTAGCTAGAGTGTATAAAAGAAAAAAATCACATGACTATATCCCATTAGACTGCTTACAAAGCAGGTAGCCCATGGGTTTGTTACAGGCTATAGTTTACTGACCCTTGTTGAATTAAGAGCGGCGGCAGGGCTGCGTCCCCAACACCCCGGCCGCTTGGCTAGCTCATGCCCGAAATAACAACACACAAACTGTATTCATTTAACTGCTTGGCCCATGAACTCTAGCCCTTACAGGCTAATTCTCGCACCTGGACTAGCCCATTTCTAGTAATGTTTGTAAGCACCCCAAGGTGCGCTTACCGGGAAGATTCTAGCCTTCGTCCATCCTGGGAGAGTGTAGCATGGCAAGCATGGCGTCTCTGCTGGGAGAGCTGAGCATGGCGTCTCTTCGGGAGCAGAGCAGAGTCTGACCTCACTTCCTCTTCCGTCCAGAATTCTATTCTGTTTACTCCTCCCATCTATGTTCCAAGCCATGAGGCCAAGCAGCTGGTTTATTATAACTTAACCAATGAAATCAACAGATTGATATATGACACTCCCACATCAGACCCTAAATGTATAGTATTGTTCAAATAATTTCACCTATTAACATAAATTTGTTAGAATAGAAATTGGGGGAAAGTTGAAGTCATAAGAGATAGGATTCAGAGTAAGAAGTTGTTGAAGGGGCCAGTGTCCAAATGATACTAACTGTTCTTATGCTGGTGATCTTGGAAACTCCATGGGTAACAACACCATTAGTCCATATCTACTGCCAGAGCATGCAGAGTTCATCTTTATATTTTACATGCTTTGTTTTAAATCTTCCAGTTATCACCACATGATAATTTGATTCTCAGTCAGCCTGTTTCTTCACCTCTTCCACTAAGGCAAGTAAAGCTTTATTTGTTTGTTTCTCTAAATCTATGTGTTCTCTAAATCATATTCCCACATCCATGCATCTGCTAGCAGAGTCCAGAAGAGGGTGTTGGCTTTCTTGGAAGTGAGCTACAGGTAATTGTGAGCTTCCCAGCGTGGACACTGGGAACCTGGAAGAGCAACAGGCACTCTAACCACTCAGCCATCTCTCTAGCCCTAATTATTTCTCTCAGTCTAATGTGAACTAAAGTAATGTATATGCATGTTGTCTTCCTAACTAAAATTTCAAATATTGCTGGAAGTACTTTTCATGTAACTGTTTCTTAGCTGATTCTTTTTACTTAATACTGGGATTACAGTTTGCAAAAGAAAGAAAAACTTTTACAGTAGTGATTGGTAGTCATGTGTATCATTATTGTCAGTACTTAATTGTTATGTAATTAGGAATGTATCTAAATTATGAAGATAATTCATTTTTTAATTGTCCTCTAACGTACATTAAATTTATTTTTTTGAGATAGGGTTTTTCTGTGTAATCCTGCTGCTTTAGAACTCACTCTGTAGACTAGGCTGACCTCAGACTCAGAGATGGGTTTGCCCTGCTTCCCAAGGACTGGAATTAAAGTCATGTGCCGCCACCACCCAACCAAATACAATTTTAAATTTAATTCAAAATTAAAAATGCTTATTAAACAGTACATATTTCATCATTCCAAAAGTTCAGAGGAGTCGTAAAATATACTTTCCCTACAGTATTATTTCTTGAAATTTAATTAGGTGTGTGATTTTTCTGTCAGAAATAGTTATGGTATAATTAAACTATTATATTGCACATACCTTGGGGAGACCAGCTGCCATCTTTGACACTAATTTTGTAAGAATTACAGATGATTTCATCACTAGCCCTTAGCCCAGAGTGACGAGTGTTTTCCAAGCTCTTATCTGAGTTGAAAATAAAATGGACATACCGATTACAAATGATTCTAAATTGCCAAAAGACTTCATTGAGGTAACAGCATTGGTGAGATATAATTTCCACATTACAAAATTTGCCCAAGTAAAGTTTGTAAGTCACTGATTTTATTCACAGAATCCTGCAGCTATTATTTTAATAAAATTTAGAGCATATTACTTATCCTATAAAACCAGCCCTATATTCTTTGCTGTTAACCTAATAATCTGTCTGTCTCTGCACAAATGTGCTCAAACACATGCACTTGGGAATGCAAACACAAGCATACACACATGTACACATGCTAATGCACACACATATGCATAGGCACACCTCATGTGCACACACAGCATAGGCACCTCTTACTCTACTTTTCTGTTCTATAGATTTATCTCTTGTATATTTTATATAAATAAAATAATACTATATTTAGTCTTTATTTCTGACTTCCTTCATCGAACATGTTTTGAGGTTCATTCATCTTATAGTATATATTGCTACTTTATTCCTTTTATTCCAGCTAATATTTCATTGTATAAATATACTGTATTTTATTTATCTGTCTATTAGGAAGCTCCTATATTTTGGCTACTCTGAATAACTTTGCTTTGAACATATACAAGTTTTTTGCAGTCATGTTTTAATTTTTTATTAAAAACCTTATTAGTATTGCTTCATCATAAAAAAAATTAACCCAGTAAAACCAGTTCTTTAGCATTATACAGGCAATATATTCATTGGTTACCATGTTACTTAGTTAGTCCAGCATTTTCTTCCTATACAGAACATCTAAGTTTACTGTTTTATTAATTTGCTTTGTTGATGTATCTCACCATTTTATAGCTCTTGATTCCTACTGCTGTTTCATTATAATAGTGAGGAGTTTCTGTTCCAAAATCCAAACTTTAGTATTTGTTTTCAGAGAAAACAGTCCTGAAAAGGCATGGTTTCTGACCGTCACGGTGAAAGAAGTACTATAATAAAAAACCTTCCATTAACGTCAGGCATGGTGATGCACACCTTTAAAAAAAATCACAGGACTTGGGAGGGTGGGGTAGACAGGTTTTTTGAGTGCAAGGCCAGCCTGGTCTGTGTAGTGAGCTCTAGGACAGCCAAGGCTAAATAATGAGACCCTTATTCAAAAGAAACAGGCAGAAAATCCTTCCCTTAAAGGGTTGGCTTCTAACCAAGCATTCTTTTAACTTAATTGAATTCTTTTGAGGGGACATTATGTATGTGGCAGATCTTTCTGCATAAGATGATGCAGATATGCAGGTGTGTTAGCAAATACCTGTAGTCCTAGCACTTAGGAGGCCAAGACAGGAAGATTTATGATTAGAGACCAGCCTGGGCTACATAGCCACATCCTGTCCCAACAACATCAACAATAACAAAAAGAAAATAAGCAGTACAGGCAGAAGACTTCCCATTTTCCATATTGAATGCAGTACCAAAAAGTGCATGACTTTGAAAACTCATCCAGTTACGTTCTTTCATATTGTTTGTGATGCTGTATTTTTCCTGTCAGGACAGTAATTGCATTTAAAGTTAAATATGCACAGCCCCACTATTCTAGTTAATTTGGAGTTTAAATAGTTTGTTGTTGTTATATTTCTTTTTGTTTTTTGTTTTTGTTTTTTAATTGTGTGTTTTTGCTTGGATTGACAGTGGTGGAAAGTTTTCAACACTACTTCAGAATCTTGGCCCTGAAAATGCTGTGACACTACTGGTGTTTGCTGTAACAGAACATAAAATTCTCATCCATTCCCTACGGCCTTCTGTGCTTACTAGTGTGACAGAAGCATTAGTGTCTGTAAGTCTCCGTTTCCTACAGGCATGCAGTTCAGTTTAAACTTAATTTATTCATGTACTTTAGAGTCATTTTAGGGCTTAACTACATTTCAGAAAGGAATGGATTTATATACTGTTGAAGCAGTTTTGGTTTCCTGACTTAATTTTAATTATAATCATTTAATACATTATCAAACATTAAACTTTAGATAATAATCAAAAAGTAATGCTGTGTATGTGTTGATAAGTTCCGCTTCAATGTCAAAATGCTTAATATTCTTCCATCCTTTGTTTATTCAAGATGATTTTCCCTTTCCACTGGCCATGCCCATATGTTCCTCTCTGCCCACTGGCTTTAGCAGATGTCCTCAGTGCGCCATGTCCATTCATAGTAGGGATTGATTCAAGATACTTTGATCTTTATGACCCTCCACCAGATGTCAGTTGTGTTGACCTAGATACCAACACCATTTCTCAGTGAGTACACTTTAAATTTTATACCTAAAACTTTATAATTTCATCATATCTATATGTGAATTTGTAGTTTATAATTGCTGAGTAATGTTCTTTTGAGATGTATTGTTTTTTGTATTTGGAGTACCACTATCTCCTTGTCAGCTCTTTCTATATTTCAGTAGAGTATATTTAGAATGTTATAGGTGCTTTTATTGAAAAGGAAACAGACTTTTAATCCTCAGGCTTTCAATATTTAAGAAACATAATATTATGCTTACTTAAAAACTTAGTGCACACACACACACACACACAAACTTAGCATAATGGGAATCAAAGCATAAATAGAAGAAGTTGGGGGCTGGAGAGATGGCTCAGTGGTTAAGAGCACTTGCTGCTCTGCAGAGGACATGGTTTCAGTTCCCCGCACCCACATGGCTGCTAACAACTATCTGTAGCTCCCATTCCAGAGGATCTGATGCCCTCTTGTGGCCACTGTGGCCACTGCACAGAACATTACACACATACATATAAAACATAAATAAATCTTTTCAGATGATGATTGAGAAGCTAATAAAAATGGCCAGGTACCACAATAACTCATACCAGATGAGTATGGGAGAATCACAATTGAATTAAAACCTCATTTCTATATTAATACTTCAATATTATTTCTAGTTTAACACTTTCAGAATACTAGTGTAGGATACCAAAATTAGCATATTGAAAATTTAAAATAATCTATAAATGTATACATAATTTTGCCTCTTTACATTCTAGGAATGTAGCTTTAAAAATGTTTTATAATTTCTTTGTATCTACGTTTTCAGATTAGTTTTCTATCAGCCAGAAAGGAAGGAAGAAATGGATACAACAAGATGGCATCCACCACAGGGTCTGGTTAAAGTAGCCATTATTTAGTCCATTGGTAAATCACAAAAGCTAGTTTAGTTTTGCCCTTAATAGGGAGATATGAAATAGTGTTTCCTCTGTTTTCTTATGGGACCAGGGAATGAACCCAGAGCTCATGCAGACTAAGCCTGTGCTCACTATGGTACACTCGTATTGTATTTTAATAATAGAATTATACCGTAAAGGCTTTCAGTTTAACTCCAGAAGTTTAGACTGACTCTCCAGCTTTCCATGTATCAGAACCTCAGCTGCTTAAACCATTAGAAAAGTTGAAAAAAAAATATTTTGGCCAGGTGGTGGTGGCGCAGGCCTTTAATCCCAGTCCCTGCAGAGGCAGGTGAATCGTTTTAAGTTCAAGGCCAGCTTGGTCTACAGAGTGAGTTTCAGGACAGCAAAGGCTGTTATATGGAGTGACCTTGTCTCAAAAAACAAAAAAATATTTTGTTTGGAAGTATATGTACAACAAAAAGCTTTTATTCATAAAAATACAAACCAATAAAATAGGGTACATATTTTATACATGAAGGTCTTTTTAATATGTGATTAATAAAGCAACATTTTTATGAGCAACACTGTTCTTTAGCAGGACTGTTTCATTTTTTGAAACAAACTAGTCCTTTGCTTTTTCACTTGAGGAATGTTAGGCAAGATGGTAATTTGTAAATGTGAACTAAGTACCAAAAGTGTACACTGTGTTTATTAGGATATGTAAATGTGAACTAAGTACCAAAAGTGTATGCTGTGTTTATTAGGATATGCAGATTTTCCCTCTTGTAATTTGTTTTAATCTTGTAATCTTTTCTTGCACATACCTTTAATCCTTGCACTCAGGCTACAAAGGCAGGCAGATCTCTGTGAGTTGAAAGCCAGCCTGGTTTACAGAGTGAGTTCCAGGACAGCCAGGGCTACTTAGTGAGATCCTGTCTCAACAAAAACAATACTTTTTTTTTTTTTGTTTTGTTTTGTTTTGTTTTTCGAGACAGGGTTTCTCTGTGGCTTTGGAGCCTGTCCTGGCACTAGCTCTGTAGACCAGGCTGGTCTCGAACTCACGAACTCACAGAGATTCGCCTGCCTCTGCCTCCCGAGTGCTGGGATTAAAGGCGTGCGCCACCATCGCCAGGCATAACAATATTCTTGTTTGGTATTTTATTTCTACTTTGATCATTAATTAATTAAAGAGTCGAAATGACATGAGTTGTTAGCACTTGGTTCCCTCTTCAGTAGATCTCCCTTCCAAACCTTGGGAAGACCCTACAAGTGAACTAAAGCTCCCTGCTTTCCTTCATTCAGGGTTCTGAAATGTCAACCTGAAATCTGAAAGAAAAGCAAATCCGAAGTATAGGATTTTTAGTTTCCTTTTACTATTCCAGGTACATACAATACAGATTAAGTTCTGAATATCAAGAAATGTCTGAAGGAGGGGTAATAATATTTATAATGTAATTTTGCAGACAGTTGCATGTATAGGCTAAGTGACCCCATTTTAGTCTGAACTTTATGAGGAATTTCATAATTCCTCTGATAGATAGGGAAGCACAAGTTTAGGTTTGTAAGCAGTTAAAGAGACATATTGCTTACTCTGTGAACACTTGGTTTTTAAACTTGATCTCACGGTGACACTAAGAGTTCTGCCACTAATAATGAGGTAACTGCTGTGTAATAGTAATCTCGTTAAAGGGAGACACCATAAGTAAAAATGCAGAAGGCTTTCAGAGATTAAAAACTCAGAGAAAAACTAGGTAAAGCCTCCCTACCTGACCACATATCACAGAAACAATATCCATGGCAAAAGAGGGAATTAGGATTAAGTGGCAATTAGATATTTTTCTAACCATAGTTGACTGCCTTCTTTTAGAGATTGCTAACAAAAAGGCAAACAAATAAATGTACTCCTTTCTCTGAGTTCCCGTATCATGCTCCTAGTCACATTATAAATGCAAAAGCTATTTACATAATAAATGTAAAAAGAACATCTGCAATTTTACCCCGCTCTGCCTTTATGTTTATTCTCATTTGTGGAAAAGAGGATAGATTCCAAAGTCATTAATTTTTATAAGTTTAAGCTTTCTTATCTATTCTTTTTGCTTAATTTTCAAAATTTTATTTGTTCTATGAGAAGTTTAGGGGATATTTAAAAACATTAAACACTAGCTTGGGAAGTTCTACAACCTACTTTACTGAATTCTCTTTGGTGCATAGAATTTGATGGGTTTGCTTTTCTTCTCTTTTTATCTTTATTTTTCAATTTTCAAAATGAGTATTTATTATTTTTTAAATGAAAAAAGATTGAAAAATCAGATGTAGACTAAACAAAACTATAGTTAAGTTCAAAAGCTTTATGATCCCTTATACCCCCAGCCCATAGTAGGAGACGACCTGTATTGTAATGGTTATAATACAGGAGACTGTAGACTCCTCCTACAGAGACATTAGTTTATAGCAGATAATCTCTTTTAAAGTTATAAAATGGTTTGTAATATTTTGTTCATGGATTTTAATGTTTTAGAATATTTCTCTTCTGAAAACAAAACCCAAAATAATTTTTATTTATACTTTTGGAAACTAAGAAACTGAGCATATAACATCATATTTTAAAAAGGTCTGTATTGTAGGTTCATTGGAGTTTTCGGTAATATGTTTCCTTCTATTAAAAACTGTTACAGTTAGATTTTCCTGCTATTTGGGTGTCTAAGCCCTCAGACATAAAAGAGTCTGGATCACCTTGGAATGCTTCTGTGATGAGCACAATCCCCACAAAATGCAATAGATGCTGTACCGACATAACTGTAAATTCTGAAGTATATTAATTAGAGGATGCCACCTTCATGTAAATTAATTTTATATAGTCACTATCCCAGTTTGCCTCTGTCAGATTTCTCCATTAGCCTGAGTATTCTGAATGTGTTCCAGTTTTGTTGTTCATTGGCTGTTTTCCCATCATGTATAAGTATGGCAGGAATACACCCCTCCTAAGGTCCATGTAACAAATGTATTGGTGTTGTCATTTAATCTCAGAACTGGTGACAAAAAGAGTGTGGCCTGGAAGATTCTTCCAAAGAAGCCATGTAAAAACCTGATGAATACACTGAATAATTTGCACCAGCAATTGGCAAAATGTAAGTGGATAATCTAATTAAGGGATGTAACTCAATCTGAGAAAATGACCGACTGCCTGAATGACTTTTCTCTTTTAGCTGAGGAAATATAGAGAATGTTTGCATGTCATCCTTGTTCAGGGCCCATCTGCTCTGAATAAATTCCAGTTCTTATGACTATACTGTTAAAGTAAGTAATACTCTAGCTGATACTCATTTTTATTTTAAAGAAAGTTGTAGCTGGATATTATTCACACATGTAATCACAGCACTTGGGAAACTGAGGCAGCATAATTACCAAAAATTCAAGGCCAGCCTGAGCTACATAATAAGTTCCAGGTCAGCCAAGCTACTGGATAAGACACTATCTTTTTTTTTAAAAAAAAAAAAAAAAGCTATTTTAGTCTGACATGTTAACAGAAGCCTGTAACCTAGCAACACTCTGGACACAAATGCAGCAAGATTGCTACAAGGTCAAGGCTAGCCTTTATACACAAGTTCCAAGCCTGTCAGGACTACACAGAAAGGCCCTGAGTCTAAAAAGTTAAGGAAAATTGTTGACTGAAATTTCTGTCCTGTCCAGTTCCCACAGTCATTAAGTCCCAAAGAAATCACAGAGGTCTATATCAATTATAAACTGATTGGCCTTAGTAGGCCAGGCTTCTTATTAACTCTTACAACTTATATTAACCCATAATTCTTATCTGTGTTAGCCATGTGGCTTGGTACCTTTTTCAGCAAGGCAGCCACATCTTGCTTGCTCTGTGTCTGGCTTCCTTTTTGGCTGAGTGACAATTGCAGACTGACACTTCCCTCTTCCCAGAATTCTCGTTGCCTCACCTCTACTTCCTACCTGGTCACCTCGCCTATACTTCCTGCCTAGCTACTGGCCAATCCGCATTTATTTAAAATACAATTGACAGGGTACAGACCATTGTCCCACAGCAGAAAATGTTGATAGCCAGGACTGGTGGCACATACCTTTAATCCTTTCAGGCAAAGGCAGGCAGTTCCAGGCCAGTCAGGTCTACACCTTGAGTTACAACCAGAGCTACATAGTAAGACCCTCTGAAAGGAAGGAAGGAAGGAAGGAAGGAAGGAAGGAAGGAAGGAAGGAAGGAAGGAAGGAAGGAAGGAAGGAAAGTGTTTACAGTCTTTAAGGCAAATAAACACTGAAACAAAATTTGTTAGAAGCCAAATGAGTGATTTATAAGTAAGCATTTTACAACTTTTAGGTTTTTATAAGGCCATTTTAGGATAATAAAATTCAAAAGGGCATTAAAGTGGTTATTTTCTTGAGTTTTGACATTACTGAAAGAACATGAATAAATAAGGATTGCCACTGGTATGTTTTCTTCTTATATAAAGCAGAAAGCTCTAGAAATGTAAAGGAAAATGATTTAAAGTGCATTAGAAAAAGCTAATTTCAGTGAAGTAAATCAGATCTTGACCTCTTCACCTAAAGTCTGTCTTGAAACAATCTGCTGTTTGCGAAAACAAAGAAATTAACCAAATGAAAAATAATTTTAGGATGTGAAATGTTTTAAGGGGAAAACTTATGTAAGAACTTATGTAAGTGATCCAGAATTACTGATAATAATTAAGATTTATTTCTTGAATTCTCTCAGTCTTGTAACAATGGTTTATTCAGTGTCTGTGGTTTAATACTTATTTTGTGAAATATGGCCAGTGGTGATGTGGCAACATATATGGGTCTCATGTATTTCGTGCTTACGAATAGTGCATGTAGATGGTGTTTATGTATATGTGGTTGCACACATGCTCTGGCCATGGATGTGGAGGTTAAAGGGCAACTCTTAGGAATTAGTCCTTGTTTTCTGCTCTGTTTGAGTCAGGTTCTCTATTCTTGTTTGCCACTGCCCTGTATACTCCACATTCTCCTATTTTTGCCTCCTATGGTAGGAGCACTGGGATCACTGATGCCGGTACTACATCTGGCTTTTTATGTGTGTTCTAGAAATCCAAACTCGGGTTGTCACGTTTATATTCCAAAGGCTTTTACCCCCTGAGCCTCCTCCCCAGTCCTGTGAACTACTCCTAAAGCTTAAAGCTATAGGTGCTTAAGTGATACTGATGGTTTAGATGATTCTTTATATCTTAAAAAGTCTTTAAATTTTGAACCAGTTAGGAACTTTTGTCTTGACCATTGAGAGTAGGCGCGCCATCACACTAAATGGAATGCTTTTCTTACCAATGCATTCTTCCACATCACTACAGCACAGCTATGGAACTCAGGAAGGTACCATCGAGCACCCTAATCTCCAGACCACGGTCAAGTTTTACCATTTTTTGTTCTGTTTTGATGTTGTTTTGGTGTGTATATAAATGTAGTTGTATGGTGTGTACATGTGGAGGTCTTCCTCTATCATTCTCCACCTTACTTTTTGAGATAAGTTCTCTCGTGAACATGGCATTTGCCATTTTGACTAACCTGGCTAGCCATTGAAACCCTGAGGTCTCCAGATGTCTTTCCCTTTTCCTCCAGCACTGAGGTTACAGATGAGTGCCACTGTGCTGCCTTTTATGTGAATAGGGATCCAAAAACAGGTCCTCGTGTGTCTACAATAAACACTCACCCACCAAGCCTTCTTCAGCTCAAGTTTTGCCTGTTTTGTAAATATTTTTTTTTATAACAAGAGGATCCAGTTTGAAATCAGAGGCAGGTAGTTTCAAGTCTCTTCTATCTCCTCTTTTCTAAAATGATTCTTCAGTTCTATTATCTTCATAATACTGCTCTTGCAGAGGACCCAATTTGATTCCCAACACCCATGTGAAGGTTCATGCCATCTGTAATCCCAGTTCTGGGAGATCCAACAGACCCAGCGCACATACATATGTGCAGGCAAAACATACACAGAGTAAAGTAAATAAATCTTTTTTTTTTTTTTCAAAAAATGGTTCTTACATTGTCTAATGGTCCCTAATTTTACTTTTGTCCAGGAATCCTCATGTAAAATCAGGCCATTCATCATTGGCATGAGTGCCTCAGACCTGGTAACTCCCTCCTCCACTATTTCTCCTCAGTGTTTTCTCTCGGTTTCTCCTGTTCTTGAGAGAAGCTCTGATGCCTAAGCTTCTCACTTGACTGTAGTCAGAAGAAAGAGAAGAGATTCAAACAGGCTTCTCAGGCATAAACTTACTCCTTACCACCAACTGGCTTTACCATAGAGTTGTCTAGGAAGAAGCTTTTTGTTTTTTTAAATCCGTCTTCTTTCTTTTTTTAATACTGCCGGCACTTATATTTTATGAAGAAAGAGGTGGAAAGGACTGTGTATTATATGTATCCAGTGTTGTGGTTGTTAAGAACTTTCTTTACTTGTGTGCATATGCATACATCCACACACATACATACGTAGTTAGATCACAAACTTTTTCTGATAATAGATTTAAAGGGATAATTTTATGTGTAATTTAGATTAAAAAATATGCTCAAGAGAACCTAAAAGTGATAGAGAATGTTTTCTTGAGGCTTGCATACTATGAAGTGGTATAAATAAAGAGTTATGGCTATATGAGCACTTTTGAAAAAATAAATTTGCATTAAAATCAGTGTGAGCCTTATTTTTCATAGACTTCAAAATTTAAGCTATGTATTTCTTCACAGTGCAGCAGAGGCCAAGAGATGATGGACTAATGGACTTAGCAATGAATGATTACGATTTTAATTCTGGGAAAAGGCTGCACATGATAGATTTGGAAATCCAGGAGGCATTCTTGTTTTTCATGGCCTCTATTTTAAAAGGTTATAGATCATACTTAAGGCCAATAACACAAGCTCCATCTGAGACAGCAACAGATGCAGCCTCTCTTTTTGCTCTTCAAGGTAAGTGGTGATACAATTTTATAGCTTTCATGTTGTTAAGCTTAAACCTGTGACAAATCACTTGTTTTCTGAATAAGTAGTTCATATTTAACAAAGCACACATCCACTCTTTGGAGTGGGTGAGGACCAGCTCTGGTGATCCATTTCTATAGGGCAAATTCTTTGTCTGGCTCATTACCTGGGATCCTAGTAAAAAGATACAGAGGGAACGGTCTAAAAACTACAGAACCTCCTGAGAGTATTTCATCCCACTTCATTGTGTCACTTTCATGTTGAGGTATTGATGGTTTCAGTTTGGGGGGCTACCAGGCAGTGCTGAGGATCTGATTACCTCCAGTCCTGAGCAGTCTCATTTGTTTTATTTCAGTCTACTTTATAACTATCATTTTCTGTCTGTACTGCAAAGGGAAAAATAAGGAAGTCGGATTTCTTGCTGTATGTTTACTTTCTCTTGTAGTATTTAATATTTTAAAGAGAAATTCATCTAGTAAGTATGTACTCAGTGCCATGAAGTTTTGAGCATTTGGTATATATTAGAAACAAAAGAGATACAGCCATGAAAAAAGGAGACATGGTCACTTCTTTCATAGAGCTTATACTAAAACAGATGAGCAATTAGAAAGCAATAGAGTAAGCAAATTTAGTTAAACTTTAAGCTGTATAAATACAGAGACAGAGAGAGGGAGGGATGGACAGAAGGAGAGAGAGAGAGAGAAGGAGGGAATAGGCAGAGAAAGCATATAGATGACATTGTTGATCAAGTTTCTTATAGCAGAAAAATTTTCTGACTCTATTCTCACATTATCTTTTATATTGAATAGCCTTCTTAAGAAGCCGGGACCGATCACATCAAAAATTCTATAACATGATGACCAAAACACAAATGTTTATTCGCTTCATTGAGGAATGTTCTTTTGTCAGCGATAAAGATGCAAGCCTGGCTTTTTTTGATGATTGTGTAGATAAAGTAAGTAGTCTACTGTAGCTTACAGCTTATTTTGTATGACTGCTATAAATGTTATGTTATTGTTTCTATTTGTAGTTTGTAACAAAATCTAAAATAATTTTATTTTCATAATTGACCACTTACAATAAGAGTTTGGACAGCCTGCTAGATTACAGCACATACTTTTATTATCTTTATTTTATTTATTATTATTAATAGTGGTAGTAGCTGTGTATGTGTGCACTCAACTGTATGCATGCATACACATGTATAGAGTACAGAAAACAACTTTCAAGAGTCAATTCTCTTTTTCTATTATGGGTTCCAGAGATGGAATCAGGTTGTTGAGCTTGTGTGATAATCACTTTTATCTGCTAAGCCATCTCTCTTAAAATATGCTTTATTAAGATTTTTTTTTTTATTTTTTTTATTGAGAATAAGAAAAAAAAAGTTTCCGCCTCCTCCCAGCCTCCCATTTCCCTCCCCCTCCCCCCACTCCTCTCCCCCTCCCTCTCTAATCCAAAGAGCACGGAGGGGGGAGGACCTTGGACTTTCCACAGGGCAGGGAACCAAGATTTCTTTTTTTTAATTACTGATTGTGCATGTATGTGAGGGAGGTTGTATACATAAGTGCAGTGCCTGGAGAGGCCAGAAGAGGGCAATGGATCTTCTGGAATTGGAATTATAGACAGTTGTTTGCTGCCTCACCTAGATGCTGGGAATCAAATTCAAGTCCTCTGCAAAAGTAAGTGCCTTTAACCACTGAGCCATCTCTCCAGCCCCAAGAGCATACTTCTTAAAGGGATTTTGTAGGAATTTTATTTTTAAGAAGGTTAAGGTTAGGTTTCTAACTCAGTCTTTGCACTTACAGAGTAGGACATTTTTCCAAGCCCATGAACCTCCAACATACTGAGATATCATATGCTAAGAGTAGAGGGCATTGCATAATAGATGTCCTGTAACTGTTTTTACATCGAGAGTGAATTTATACTTTATATTAATCCTATTTTGAATTCATACATGAAAACTATCCATTTTCTGCTCTGTCCTTGTAATATTAGGTGAGATGGAGCTGGGTTCATGCTGGAAACAAAGGAAGCAGGAGAACAGTGCCCCTAATACAGTGTCTAATCTTAAGTAGGGTGAGAATAGTCGAGGTGCCTAGCATAGGCACCTGAGTCCCAGCCATGAGCAAAGAGCTTGACATGGGACTCAGAACAAAGAGAAAAGAACATCCTTCCTGGGGCAGTCAGCTTAGGGTATCAACTTAACCAGGATAAGAAGAGTATGGTGGTGATAGTGGTGTGAATTTCAGGAGCCTGTATAGGGTCAACAAAATGGGGGTTGGGTATAGCATGGGATGGTAGACTTTGACTTGGATGAAGGAGATGCTGGCATGGTAAGCATGAAATCCAGTATGTACAGGTTTGTCAGGTTAGGGTGAGGAAGTCATCTACATGGGAGCAGAGCAGTGAAGAGGGGGAAAATAATACATAAAGGTAGGAAGAATGTTCAAGTAAGTAAATGTGTTCAGAAGATAAAGATTCTCATGGCCGGGAAATTTACACATACAAACTTAGAGAGAAGCAAAACAAACCCTGAATTTGGAAATACACTATTGATTTTTCAATGAGAGACAAAGATACAAATAACTATAGGCAAAGTGCATGTATCTGTGTGCGTATACATATATTCTGTAGCTGCGTATATTGAGAGAACCTGAGAACAGCCACACTTTAATAACAGTGTAGTATAATATGCATAGACATTGTCTTTTAGATATCAAAAGTCATCAGGACTCTTTGGAGAAATGATTAGTTACAGATTTAAGGCAAAAAAAAAAAAGTCCAAGATAAACTCTAAGGTGTCCTGTAATAGGGAGTAAGAAATTACCCCAAGAATGATAAAGACATATAAGACATGCACAAAACCCATTTGAAGGGATACCACTGTCAAATTTGAGTCAATTCAAGCATCAGATGTTAGTAACAAATAATTAACCTGTTGAATAAATAGGAAATTATAAATCTACACAAATAACATTGACAATTCAAAGTCTCATAGGAAGCAAGATCTAAACATAGTTCACTATACCTCCCTACAAAGGAAATATGAATTCAACTGTATAGTGGAAAAGCCTGGTAGACACCACATTAAAATTTAGTGATCAAAGTGGACATCATCAATAATAGAACACAATATCATGTACTCCTAAGAGATAATATTTTTGTTTCTTTTCCTGCTACTTGGATACTTTGACAAAAGCTACTTAAGGGATAATGGGGTTATTTTAGCTCACATTGTCATGTCAAGGAAGTTAAAGCATCAGGAGCTTGAGACAGTGCTCCATAGTCAGAAGACAAGAGCAATGAATGTATGCATGTGGTTCTCAGCTTGCTTTCTCTTCTGCAGTCTAGCATCCTTTGCCTAAGAAACGGTGCCACCCATAGTGGTATGGGTCTTCCCACCTTAGTTAACTGAGATAACTACCCACAGACATAACTAGAGGCCCATCTTTCAGATGAATTGAACTCCTGTCCTCTGCAAAAGCAGGAAGTGCAGTTAACTGGTGAGCCATCTCTCTCCAGCCCCATTTTTCAGTATTTTAATAAATATTTTAAGCATATCTTATAAAAAATGTATTGACAGAAATAGGATGGCATGGCTGTAAGCTTTTCTCTAGAACCCTTTTTACAGAAATAATTGTTTGCACATTAAGGGAGAGGGATTTCCCATATGGTACCAGGTCTCCACTGGTCATATGTGTGTACTTTCTTTATGAACAATGACATGCATCTGTATATTCCCATGCCAAGCTAACTGAACCATATGGGACCAAGTTAGTGGCCAGGGCTTAGCTAATAACATGCAGTAGTGAATAAGCTCATTAATCCACTTGGGGACTCTGAACTACTTTGCAAAACTCCAGTTAACAATCTAAAAGGGAGAACTTTTATTTTTTGAAAAAGAATTGTTTTCTTTTTAACCCATTCACTGTATTTTATTCACAAATCTATGTTTTAGTTAAACTTACACTGAAATGTTACATGGTCTGTGGTTACTTACAAATATTGTAAGCTGTACAAGACTTGTAATTTTACTCCCTTTCTTAGGACATCTTATTCTAAAGAGATATCTCATTACTGGTAGTTAAAACTTTGGATTTTCTAGGGTTTTCTCTAGGTCACTTAAGATTTATGTGATGTGAGTCACTGTGATGGGTTATTTGGACAATTTCTTTTGAAATACAAGTTCTAAAGTGCTGAAGAAATGGTTCAGCAATTAAGAGCACTTGCTTCTCTTACAGAGGACCTGAGTTTACATTTCCACATGCTTTTTTGTTAACCTATTTTAAAAGTCTCAATTGTAGGAAAGATTTCTAATGTACACACATTAAACTAATATACTTAAAGATTTTTCTGACTAAGCAAGAAATCAAAGCTGAGAACTGTAATGGGGTACAGCTGAGTAGCAGAGTTCAGCAAAAACAAATTAACGAAATCCCGAGAATTAGCATGATAAAATATAGTTTTTGTATTTGTTTTGTTATAATTCAAAGGACACTTTATTGGAGAAAAAGCACAAGTTCTAGTGTATTAGTAAGCTTCATGTGTAGTTGGAGCAGAGGTTAGTTGTCTATGGTGTTATGGAGCAGACTCCCACCCCAGTAGGAACACTAGCATAAAAATTCAATAAATACTTTTAATCTGCATTCATTTTCAGAGTGCCATACCTATACTTTGAGAATAATCATTTATGTGGAGGCTGTTCCTTAGTTGGATACATTTGAGCTCATTTTTTAAGTGAACGAGTCCTTTTACCTTTGGAAGCGTAACTATGGAAAATAAATTAGATATGTATCCTCCATCAACCATGCTTGTGCTTGAATGCAAATCAGACATACTCCTCTTTTGATCTTAGCATTTCCAAACTGAAAACATGTAACTCACTTTTGAAATAAAAAATGAGTAATGCTGAATAGAAATAATAGAAACACATATAACCGCGTGGCCGGGCGGTGGTGGTGCACGCCTTTAACCCCAGCACTCGGGAGGCAGAGGTAGAGTGAGTTCGAGGCCATCCTGGTCTAGAAGAGCTAGTTCCAGGACAGGAACCAAAAGCTACAGAGAAACCCTGTCTCAAAAATCAAAAAAAAAAGAGTTATTTGCATTTTATTTATGACTAATTTAAGAGCCATATGTCCTTGTTCTTCACACATTAATTTTAAATCCACAGTCTGTTCCTGTAGGAAGGTACTTAGCCAAGGTCAGCGTTTAACAAATAGTCAGCTAAGATGCTTTTCTTGGTTTTTCAAGTTTTCATTTACAGTGTTTTCTGAGCATACCAACATCTTCTGGAAGAATTATTAAAGAGACTATGAAAATTCCTTAATTTTATCCTGCCATGGGGTGTTGGATTTTTTTTTTCTCTCAGTTGAGGCAGATATCACTGTACTTTCCAAAGACAAAGAGAGATGTCCAGCTGAAGAATGTAGGATTTATGGCATTGCTATATTTACAATACAATGCAATTTTAAATGTATAAAGGAAATTTTTACACATTCAATGTCTTACCAAGGTATTGAATCTATAGGTCCAAGTTTTAAACTGTATTTGATTTTGTAATGCTAAGAAATACAGAAACAAATTATTTTACTTTCCTTGAAGTGAACAATTACTTTTGTCTTCTGTTACTAATTTATCTAGAAACTTACAAAGAATGAAACACTGTTTCAGTACATCAAGTTATGCATTTAAGTGTTAAAAATTCTTCCTGGAACATTCCATTTTAATTGTTTTACTAAGACCTGACTGTCTTCTAGTCTGTCATCTATAATTTCCCCCTCCAGCACCTTGGTAATTGTATTAACATCTCACTATAGTTGTATGCCCTGCTTCCAACTCCTGCATAGTAACTACTTCCTTGTCTGGTGACACCTGTCTGAAAATACCTTCTCCTCTACTACTTGATGGCTAACTTGGTTGAATCAGTATTTTAAATTCATTCATTGCTGCATTGTC